CATTCAATTCTCAAAAATATTGTAATTCAAATCCACAGTTAAAACTGATGTACACTATTTGTACACTATTTTATCCACTATTTTTGATTTTTGTACACTATTTGAAAAATCAGAGTTGGTCACACTGATCATTAGTCGAAAATCTTGAAGCAATTTCTTTGCAAATTCAGAAATTGTGTTCAGAAATCCTCATTCAAAACAAACAGTTAAAGAGTGAATGACTCGCATTTGAGTCCCTATTCATAAATATTCATAAACTATACTGTTTTCCATTTTAAATCTCAAACACTTTAATAAAGTCAAGTAATTTACTCAACAATAATACATACGAACAAAAAAGTTTTTCTTTCCGGTTATCCCTAAAGCGCTGACAAATAAAATAAAATCCAATTTCTGTCAATCAAACGAAAACATGTAATAAACAGAAAGAGTATATTTTTCTCTCAATCAATACATTATGAATATAATGTTTGAACTAAAGGATACGTTACTGTAAATATTGAGAGAGAGAGAGAGAGAGAGAGAGAGCATTGAAGAGCAGAGAAGAGCATTGAGTTAATGCTATGAAAGAGGGTCTTAGGGTTTGCTTCTCCATGAGCTGATCCTCTGGTGTTTGTGCGGCTGTTTGGCTGTGAAGCCAAAAGTCAGTTCGTGTTTCATATGATTGTGTTTGCAATTAACGCCACTCGAAGCGGACGTTTGCCACTAATCCCCACAAGACGGACACCAAATGCACATATCATGCAATCAAGTCATAAGTCATAACAATTGATTACTTAAGAGTCGATACAAACAGACACACTATAAAACATATAATTATATATATCTATAATAAAATACATTTAACTTTTATGATCACGAATACCAGTAAAAACCTATAAACACACAAACAAAACAAATTTGGATCCATTTCTCCCTCTCCTCCGCTCCCGTCCCTCAATAGGCAAACGTTTTGCTCATAAAATAATGTTATTATCTTTTCTATTAAAGTAATTGTTTTAAAGCCATTTCTCTAATTTTTGCCATTTTTCTAATGCTTCTGCCAGTAATGTCTCACTTTATTTCATGTCTTTATTCATACACTTCTCATGTTTTATGTCTAGTAATCATTGTTTGGAATTTTATTTTCTAAATTTCCTTTTTGCACAATAAGTTATGTTAAAAATTTAATTCAAGAAAACTGATATTTATACAAATGTATAAGTCTTATACTATAAGAGATTTAATCAAATATTGTCTTTGATTTATACGCGCTTTGAATGTGATTTAATGTAAAGTTTTTATTATAAAATAAGTTTAACTTTTAATATAAAGAGAATAAAAGTTGAGTCGAAATTTGTATTTCAATACCACTTCACGATATGATGCCTTCGTTTCCCTAAACAAAACAAACGCTTAAATAAACAAAAACTTTTCAAATAATAAGTTATTCTTTAGATTGATATGAAAAGAATGAAAAGTAAACATAACATCTAATTCTTGGATATCTATCTCGATTGGATACATACCGACACTCACTAGTGTTATACTGTTCGCCAGAATATCTTTTTGTGTTAATATTTGTTGTGGTGAACAAACTTTTGAATAATTGATATAAAATCCGCCGCCTTTTATCACTCGAAGCGCTTCGACTGTCGTATTCATACAAATGTTGCATAAAAAATATAACAGACAATACATTAACTATTGAAATCATATTAATATTTGTGTTTGTATTCAGAGAATGCATTACACAATACGAGCTAAGCATTCAATGCAATCTAAATGACAAGTTTGTGCGCGCATTGCAACCGCTATTCAATAAGTCATACATTCATTTGTAAAGCACTGGGCTTTGATGGCTAACTCGAGGGCTGTCGTCTCATTTGGATTGAATATGAGCGACGAGATGGGCGCCCCTTCAAACACTTCGTTCATTTCCGATTCGCTCAGTTCGGCCAACACTTCCACGTCTTTATTAAATAAGGCGTCAGTCGTTCGCTTTGCTGATGAGAGGCCGGCCTCTGTTGGACAGACAGCACATAATCTCAGTTCCCAAGTCTGCGTATTGGCACACTTCAGGCAAACTAATGACTAGGGAATACCTCCGTGAACTAGAAGTGTAACCTCTTCAGCTAAAATCTCCTGCAAATACCACGGCTTTGGAGTCCGGAGTTGTTTTTGATACATCTGCTCGACCTCTGCATCCGATCGAAACGAAAATATTTTAAAGTACTCATGAATTTGAGTGTCCGTCAGATTCTTGAAAAACTGTTTTAAATCAACTTAATTAGTGTCTAAACATTTGGCTCAAAAATTAATTAATCACTTGATAGAGACTATACGGAGAGGTTTTCTCTTCATTTAAATAAATAGCTTTTTCTTCGGTTTTCCCGAATTTCTTTCCCTTTTCATTGGTAAGTATTGGCACAAAGAGTCCCACCGTTTGCTTACTAGTCAACCGTCTGATGAGGTCGTGTCCATTGTGTATATTTATTGTTTGGTCTATACCTCCGATCTGTTTAAACGGCAATCAATGAGTCTCTCTTAGCATTCAATTGGACACAAAACACCTGAAAGT